TGAGGTAAATGGTTAAAGTCTATGAATCTCAATTATTCCTCTCTCATATCCTATTAATAAGTTGTAATTCCAGGATCATAGTCAGGACTAAACTGGGGTTATATTGAAAGAAAAGAATAAAAAGTTATCACTACAATACCAGGTATTAGTAATATCTCAGTCAGCTCTGGCTGTGTAAGAGTTAATACTAGACGGGCGGTGGTGGCGCACGCCTTTAATCCCAGCACTTGAGAGGCAGAGACAGGCGGATTTCTGAGTTTCAGGCCAGCCTGATCTACCGAGTGAGTTCTAGGACAGCCAGGGCTACACAGAGAAACCCTGTCTCGGAAAAACCAAAAAAAAAAAAAAAAAAAAAAAAAAAAGAGTTAATACTAATTTTCAACTTAACAGGATCTAGAATCACCTAGGAGACACCCTTTCAGGCATAGCTATGAGGAGGTTTCTAGACTGAGTTGCCTGAGGTAGAAGGCTCACACTACATATGGGCAACACCACTCTATGAGCTGAACTTGTCCTTTCATCTCTCTGCTTCCTGACTGTGGATGTGACCAGCTGCTCCATTGCTCCTGACTCTGTGACTCCCCTGACACGACTGTACATACCTACATGCACACCCCAACACACACTTTCAAGCATATAAGCACCACTCACAACTGACTGAGACGTGGATCAGCCGTGTACAAAGGCTGGAGTTAAAGGCTGACTCTGCATTTTCTCGGTACATGAGCAGTAGCTCTTCAGTTAATCATATGTTCACTGTGCACCAGGTGTTGGAATAGGCTCTCGGGGATATGCAACAAACAATGATGCAGCGCTTCATAACTTCACGCAACTTGCAGAGAGAAAGGTACTTTTTGAGCACCGACATCAATGAGGCTGGGCGGAGCACGTACCTTTGCCTGGCATGGAACAGTTCCGAATCCTCATCTAAGTCAAAAGAAATAGATTTCAAGCAGCCACCCTTGGTAGAGGCTTGATTTCATACAGCATAGATAAAACCACATCTAGTATGTCAGAGGAAATTGAGGGCCAATTAATATGGATTTCAGATAAGCAAGGACGTATGTCACATGTTGCAGATAAACAGCAATTTTTACTATTTGTATCTGATGTAGTATTTAAGATTATGTATTATATGTGTGTGGATGTTTAGTGTGGTGTGCTTGTGTGCACACACATGTACGAGTAGGAGTTGAGTGCCAGACATTGTACTAGGCTCAGAGGGTCAGCCTCTTATCTTGGCTCAGCTTAAAGAGCAAATGGTATTTTTTTTAGCACTTTAGAGGCTTTCTACAACCCATTGCTTTCTACAATTTATTGCACACGTATGTATACACACAGGTGTGCTGAGGCTAGAGATCAGCCTCTGGTCTACATCCTCATGAGCTGTCAACTTGGTTTTATCATTATAATTTATTTGAGAATCTCATACATGGGTACACCTTACCTGTCTGCACCCTCTCTCTTCCTGATTGAGACACAGGCTCTCACCTGGGACTCTGAACTCTCCGATGATGCTAGGCTGGCCGGCCAGAAGCCCTGGGAACCCATCTGCTTTTGGAGTACCACCATACCTGGCTCTTTAGGTGAGCGCTGAAGATGGAATTTGGGTTTTCTCAGGGCCTCATTTATGCTGCCACTTGGCCAACTGAGCTCTGATTCTTCCCCCCCCCCCCCTTGGGACAGGGACTTCCTATATAGCTCAGGCACAATTCGCACAACTTTCTTACACTTAACCCCTTTACTATGTTTTGTTTAATGTACCTTTTAGGTTTCCTTTTCCCCTCAATTTTACTGAGATATAATTGATAGCCAATAAAAGATGTTCATTTAAAATGTAGTTTATATAGGTGCACAGAACAGATACCTGTGAAAATATCACCATATCCTGAACAATACATGTATCAATCTCTGTAAAGATTGTCTTGTGCTCTTTTAATTATGGATGTTGCACTCTATTTAATGCTTTTGCTGTATCAAGTGAAATAATCAAATAGTTATTTTAAAATTTTATTAACATGGTAGTTAGATTTTTCATTTCCTTTTTTTTTTTCATTTTATTTTATGTACATTGGTGTTTTGCCTGCATTTGTCTGTGCACAGATGTCAGATCCCCTGGAACTGGAGTAACAGAAAGTTGTGAACTGCTGTGTGGGTGCTGGGAATTGAACCCCAATCCTCCGGAAGAGCAGTCAGTGCTCTTAACCCCTGTGCCATCTCTCTAGCACCTTTATTTTTTTTTTTGGATGCTCAATAAAATTTATTTTTATTTTATATGTGTGTACATACATGTGTGTCTCTGTGTTGAATGTAGCACCTACAAAGGCCAGAAGATGGCGTTAGAGATCTTGGAGCTAGAGTTAGAGGGAGTTGTGAGTCATCTGACATGGGTACTAGGAACCAAACTCATGTCCTTTGAGAGAGAAGTATGTGCTCTTAACCTCAGAGCCATCTTTCCAGACCTGGATATTGCATTTCTTAGATAAATGTATATAGCCACTTTGTATCATCTTTTTTTGTTGTTGTTTTGTTTTGTTGTGACAGGGTTTTCTCTGTGTAGCTCTGGCTGTCCTGGAACGCTCTTTGTAGACCAGGCTGGCCTCGAACTCACAGAGATCCACCTGCCTCTGCCTCCTGAGTGCTGGGATTAAAGGCATGCGCCACCACTGCCCAGCTTCATCTTTTTAGAATATATTATTGTATTTAATTTGAAGTGTTTTGTAAAGGTTTTTCTTTTCTTTTTGGAGACACGGTCTTACCTTCTGTGTAGCTCAGCTCACAATCCTTCTGCTTCAGCCTCTTGACTGACAGAATTATAGGCATCTGATACCACACCTGGCTTGGACTTTGTCTTCTCTTTTTTTTTTTTTTAAATTTATTTATTGTATGTAAATACACTGTAGCTGTCTTCAGACACCCCATAAGAGGGCATCAGATCTCATTACAGATGGTTGTGAGCCATCATGTGGTTGCTGGGATTTGAACTCATGACCTCTGGAAGACCAGTCAGTGCACTTAACCACTGAGCCATCTCACCAGCCCCCAGGACTTCTCTTCTCTTGTCTTCTCTTGAATGAAACTAGTTTTTGTTTGTTTGTTTGTTGACAGTATCTCATATATAGCCCAGGCCAGCCTTGAACTCAGCATGCAGTCAAGGATGAACCTGAGCTTCTGATCCTCTGCCTCTCCAGTTCGGAGGTTACAGATATATATCACTATGTTCCCTTTACCTGGTGCTGGAGATTGAACCTAGGGGTTCCCAACCTGGATAAAAAACCCTTAGAAGCCAAGTTATTTTTAGCATTCATTAGTTTCAATGGAGACATTCTCACCCTCTTCCTCCCTCTCACTTGCCATATCCAGCCCTTCACAAAATAATACTGATTCTCTCGTCTTCATATTGCTGTAATTTTAACCTTGTTCTTCCAGCCCTTGCTCTAGTCTAGGCCTGGGCTTGCAAATCGTCAACTATAGGGCCACCTTCAGCCTAGAGTCAAGCTTTCCTTGGTTTGAACGATAGTCTGCCAGCATTTAGAAACGTAGTTATACCTTTAGGGGCAGATTCTAGCTTGTTTTTTTGGGAAACAAAACAATATTATGTTAGCTGACAACTAAAAGTCCCAGTATTCATTTGACAACACTCAGTTACAGCTAAGGTGAGACTCCCTCCTTGGAAAAAGGCTGAAACAGTCCAGCTGAGAATTTCTGCCATTCTCTCATTTCTTGCAGCTGACTTGTCTTACTCTTGGCTATCACACACAGACTCTTCTAGGGATCACTAATCTCTATCTACTTCCCTCTTACCTCTAATGAGATACCCACTCTCTCCCCTTTCCACATTGTCAAAGTTAGCTTTGCAAGCACATTTGCCACTTCCTCTCATTTGTACATCCTTGATAAAGCTCACTGTTCTTTGGCTAAGATCCCAACTCCTTAACATGTCATCTCATAACCGGGTCTTACGTGCATGAGAATGCCCATATCATTGCATCTCACTCCTCCTTTGCTTTAAAACTTCTTTTATTGTGTGTGTGTGTGTGTATGCATGCACACATTCATGGGGAAGAGAGAGAATAATTCTCAAGAGTTGGTTCTCTCCTTCCACCATGGAAGTCTGGGGCTGGAACTCTGGTAGTCAGGCTTGGTAGCAAGCTTCTTTACTTACTGAACCATCTTGCCCTCTCTCAGTTTTGATTACTAAGAAGCAGCAGTTTACAAAACAGCTATTTTCTTAATACCTGTCAGAGCTGTTGTGTCCATCTTCCTGCCTCTCCTCCCCTCCTTGTTAAACTCTTATCCTAGAAACTGCTGTGCCAGGCTTTGGTGGTATATGCTTATAGTCACAGCATTCTGGAGGCTGAGGATCTTGAATTCGAGGCCAACCTGTGCTACAATACCAAAACAGGGTGGAGAATTGGCTCAAGGGTTGAGAACTATCTGTTCTTTTAGAGGGTCCCTGTTCCGGTGCTTTTATGGGCACCTATAAGCACACACATATACACTCAGGCACACGCATATACATTTAAGAATATTTTTAAAAAGAAAACAGTAACCTGTACCCTGACATCACTCCTGTAGGAGACCTTCCCTCAAAGTCTTCCTTGCCTTTCTACTGCTTTTCTGGTTCAGTTTGTGATCTCTTGGTGTAAATGTTGGAGTTTCCCAACACCACGAGGTGTTAAATCAGGAATGGACTGAAGTGAAGTTAATCGAATTAGGATTATATCAGCTTTGTTGTCTATCTTAACCTCCAACAGAGTCCGATTTCCTGAGTAAAGTGTAACAGGAGTTCGCCCTCGAATTCCTGATTGTCGTAACCTGGAGCTTTCAATCCAGGTTCCCTGCCCAGGCAAACTCACCTAGCACGCAGCTGGTGTCTGTGTGTCGTGGTTTTAGGTGAGCCTGGGATTGGATAGGGCAGTGCATGCCGGGAGAAGGACGGTCTTCGAAGTGCTTTTTGGGAATTGTAGTTCTTGGAGCCGGAAGTGGGGGTGGCAGGGCTAGAACGGCAGCTGAGGCAGCAGTCCTTGACTCTGCCGCTGTCAGGGTGTAGTGCATGGTTTTGAGCCCACCAGCCATGGTGCCTCCCCTCTCTTGAGGGTGCTCCTGTTACCCTGGCAGTCGAAGCGGCCTGGAATCTCTCTTCCGCCCCGAGACGGCCCTACAGCCCGGATGCGTCCGGAGGGCGCGGGAATGGATCTTGGCGGCGGCGGGGAGCGCTTGCCGGAGGAGAGCAGGTGGGCTGGGAGCGGCTGGCAGTCGGGGCTGCTGGGTGCGCGGGAGCTCAGGGAGACTTGGCAGGGCTGGGATGACACGCTGTGCGGGGCGCGGCAGACTGTAGAGCTACTGCTGCAAGTGACTTGTTTGGGAACAATTTCCAAGAGGAGGAGGTACTAGCGGGGCGTGTATAAGGACGAGGGAGGAGATGAATTTAGGGACGGTGAGCAAGGGTGGGTATGATTCTTTGAAGGCCAGGGAAGAAGCTAAGATCCAAGACTGCCGGAGGAAAGGTGGACATTGAGAGTCTGGGAGAAAGGACTGAGGTGCTGTAGTGAGATTTTTATAGGCCAGAGTCTACAGATAAGAGCAGAAACAAGATTGGTGCCCTGAGTTAAAACTCGTGATAACCCAGACCGATTTTAAGAGGGTGCTGTAAGATATTCTGGGAGCCAAGATTTTAGATTACAATGGCTCAGCAAGGTTAGGAAGGGATGAATGTGGGTGAGGAGGAGAGGCAGGCCTGTGGGTGAAAAGCTACTGATTGCCCTGGGGTGTTGGCTTGCTAAAGGGACAGAAAGTGTGTACATGTCCTTTGTCAGTGAGATTCTGCTGCCTGAGAGGACCTCTGTCATTTCTTTTTTTTTTTCAACGCCTTTGCTGCTTCTCCACAATGCAAACTAAGTAAGCTCAAGTTTATGTGGAATTATTCTCAGAAAGCCTTAACTTCTAGAAATAAGGGGAATTTAAGATTTATTTTCTTTTTTTATTTAAACAATTACACTTATTTATATATGTGTATGTGTGCAAACGTGTGATAGTTAGAGGACAACTTGGAGGAGGCAGTTCTCTTCATCCACCATATAGATATTGAGAGTAGAACTCAGATGTCAGGCTTGGCAAAACCATCTTTACCCACAGAGCCATGTCACCAGCCCAAATTAGAATTAAAAAAAAAAGAACTACTTTAGCTCCATCATCATTTGGACTCTGTAAAGATGTGTCTCCTACTTAGGGTTGCTTCATTAACAACTGGTCTTAGGTTGGGAGTGTAATTCATGGTAGAGCACTTGCCTTTTTTTTTTTTTTTGAGCTTTAAATAAAGCATTTATTGATGAGCAGAAGCTTACACAGTTTGCATAGATTCTTCATACCATATCTGGAAGGATGATGGAAACCCCCAAGGCACTAGAGAACATGGAAAGAAGTCAGTACTCAATGGAGTGAGGGCCGGGGACTGGATGTCCCTGAGCACCGGCCATGTCCTGTGGGTCTGAGGCCTCTGTCTGGGGAGCAGGTTCACAGAACAAGGGACACGGGACTTGGAGGGGACCTCATCCTGGGAGCTCTGTAGCTGCAGTTTCTGCTTTGCTCTCCCAATTCTGGCAGCAGAGTCTGGGGAGAGTCATTTAGTTGACTGACCCTTTGATCCTTGTGACTTAGAGGGAAAGACAAGCCCAAATGGCTCACAAGGACATTGGAAGAGGGGTCTGGAATTGTCAGGATTATGTGACATGGGGTGCAGAGGCCAAGGATGGTCAGCAGTGTCTGAGAGACATGGCCTCAATGTTCCTCAGGAGCCCCTCCAGCTTCCAAGCAGGTAGTGAGACAGCCCACATTTAAGCCCTGCCAATGAGCAGTTGTCAGCCCAAAGTAGGGGTGGTCAGTAGTAGGCAGCCCTGGGTTTCACAGAAACAACAGAAGCAGGATCTCATCCTCTTAAGAGGATGCAGAAGCAGAGACACAGTAGAAATATGTCGTAAGGGAGTCTTTCTTTGACACTTAGAAATAGGTTTGGTACAATGATGGTCTCCAGAGCAGGTGAAGTCCCACGACTAGACGCAAAATAATTTACCTCAAAATATTCTTAGGGGAGAACTGAAAAGTGCTTGGGTGAATGTATTTCTGCTATGATGTACTTTCTTGAGTACAAAGTAGCCTGTGGCCTACTGAATTAGTCCAACTTGAGTTCTTGCCTGAGGTCTATGAATGGTATGTACGAAATGAAACTGGATGTCTTACTTCCCTTTTCAACACTTTAGTTTCTGCTTTTGTATATTTGGCTATTTATTTTTCTCCAGATGTCTGTGAAGTATTTTATGTAAATGGTACCCCGTAGCTGCTAGGCAAGCTTTAGGGTTATTTTGATTTTCCTGTACCATTTCATGTAGAGCAGGCTGAGTCAGATATTTAACTTTGTTTTTCTTCTTTTCAATTTAGCTGGAACTGCACTAGTTAATTATCCATTACTTCTTTATTATACACCAGACACTGTCTTGACAGCATTGTGAAGGTTAACGTATTGAGCATCTTCACAGTTGTGTGAGGTAGCTACTACATGATCACTTCACAGATGAGGAAGCAGAGACACAGACAGGATAAGTAACCTGCCATCGTCACGCAGAGAATCCTGGTAGAACTGAGTGATACTCACACCCAGTTACTTTTACTCTCTACGCTCTGCTGCTTCCCCATATGATAATAGTGACAAATGTACACAGTAGTGTTAAATCTTTACTGTTCTGTGCTGGTCATTTAGGTGGGCAGGACTAAGAAAGTTTAATGAAGCTTCAGGGTACTAATGGCCTCCTTAGCTCCTTAGATAGACACTGGTAAATACGTGTTTGAGAATTGAGGCACTGTGGCCGGGCCACTGCAAACATAATGTTTTTATGGTCACTACAACACACAACTCAAGATGCCGTCTTGGTGAGCTGACAGCACTTGTTAAACATGGAGGATATAGAGTTTTCCAATGAAAGCACTTGATAGGGAAATGTGCATAATTTAACCCCACCACAAGCCTCCCTTCTGTTTTGATCTCAGTTCATAGCATTTTGCACTCAGTCAACGACACCAGATCCTCACAGTGAAATTTCAGACTTCTCTTTTCATTTCTTACATGCAAAGCTACAGTTGAATCCTAGCTTGTGGGCTCGACTTGCTCATCTTACCGAGTCCTAGCTCAGTGGCCCAGTGTTCTTCCTTGCTGGAATATCCTGAGAGTTAAATGAAATAATGAGCTCCAGCTCTCTCAGTATGCCTGCTATGTACTAAAGTACAAAGGCTTGTTTACTTGTGTCTGGTCTCCAGTTTCCATGAGCTAGGTATGTTGTCCACAGGTTACTATTTGCAGCGGGGTAGCTTTTCTTCCCGGGTCCATGGCTGCTCTGGCTAAGTTGAGCTCATGGGAGATTGGAATGTTGACTTAGCTCTTCCCTTCACCCTAGAAGTGTGCTTACACCATAGGCTCCTCTACTGTTTCCCTTGTAACTGTCTGACAGCAAATACTGCTGTGCTTAGGAATGATACTTCTCTTTCCCTAGAGTTTCCTTAAAGGCCAGTTGTTTGGGAGTTGTCTGCCGGAACTGTCATCTAAACAAGAGTCCTTCCATTATTGCCCTGTCAGCCTGGACGTTATTGAGCGGTGCAGTCTACTTGAGAGCTAGGAGTTCAGCTCTACCCAGTGCTCGGTTTTTCCCATACAGTGGCCCACAGAGTCAGAATTAAAGTCAGGTATACTTTAGTGACTCCAAGCACTCAGTGGGCCAGACCTTCCCCACCTGTGTCCTCAGCCTGTCTGTGGCATTTTCCACTCAGTCAGCTAAGCCCTAACCTCACTGTCATACTTCTTTCTTCCCCATGTCCCTCATCCAAGCAAGCACTCGTTTCTGTGAATTCTTCCCTAATATTCCCTCTAATTCTTTTTTTAATCCATTTCCAGATATAATGGTTTATATTCTCTTTTTAAAAATCCAGGGCATGGTATTTCTTTTAGACCCAGCCAAAGGTTGGTGCTGAAAGTCAGGTGTTGCCCATCTCTCAGATGGGTCCTAGTTTGTTGGTTTCCTTCTCAGTGAGACTTTGTTACAGGGAAACCTTAGCAACTCCAAGTCTGGAGATCTCAACAGCAGGAATAGAAAGGATGTAGTCCAGCAGGCGTTCCCCAGGCCGATGACTGATGTTCCTACAATCAGAATGTAGGGCATGCTGCTCAATTGGGCCTGGATTGTGTTGAACTTAAATGGTGGCTCCTAGGGTGGACTGAACCCTTCCTAGAACTTTATTGACCGAAATAAGTGATAAAAGTGGTTGCCTTCTGAAAGTAGCTGTTTTCAAAAGGCCGTGGGTTCCAGGCAGGTACACAATCACTTGCAGACATACTCTCACAGTGGAGATTCTTCTAGCAACTACTTAACTAATTTTTCTTTCTGAATGTTGTTTCTTAGTCCAGGTCTACATTACTATCACTTACTTAACTTTTCAGAAACAAAGTCACTATGTGTTTGTTCAGAGATCTTCACTGATTATTCCCATTGTGATTTGTGTGTAACAATGGAATTTTTTCAGCCATAGTGAAAGGTAAAGTTCTATTGTTTGTAGGAAAATGGCTGCTACTGAAGGTAATCATGTAAAGTCAGTCTCAGGTTAACTATCCCATGGCCTCTGACTTGTCTCTTATTCCTGTAGTTTATACTACAAGAGGCCATAGATGCACTGACGACCTGAGAGTAGACAGGAACACGAGGGAGCATGGGAAGGATGGGAAGGGCTGCCTGGAGGGAACATGCTCAGAGTACATTCCGTGTTTGCTTGAAAGCAGTCTTCTGTAGTAACAGGGTATTGAGTTGTAATATATAGATCCAGTGTTTAAAGGGATGAAAGGAAACTAGTGTTGAGTTTGTGTTTTCATCCCTCTGAAGCTTAGTCTCAGGCTCAAGGCATTCAGTCACCTGGACTTTGTTCAGCCATTCCTGCACTCTCACAGTCTCCCTGTCTGCCTGTAGAGCTTAGTCGTTCTTCAGCAGGCCTTCCAGACCTGCTTCTTCCCACCTCTCCTCACAGCCTACCCTTTCTCTCCTTCCATCTTCACCTCTCATCATTTCTTTTCCTTTCACCTTGATAATGCCAGGGATTAACGGTGCACAAGGACGGTGGTAAAGCAGGTGATCGTGAGATTCTCGAGCATTCTGCACTGTGCAGCTGGATTATTTGTATCAAATACTTCCCGCTCCAGCCC